AGTTCCATGATAAGTAAAGCTCGATTCTGACTGGTTTGTATCAAAATGTTTGAAAACTCCATAAAGCTCCACTCTAATCGGTTACTCTTTTCAGCTTCACCAAATAGGATGAAACTCATTCTGATTTTTTTTTCACGTTAAAAAACAGTTCGTGAACGTAATTGCATAACTGAGTTTGACTACCTCAATCTATTTTTTGGGACAGTTCAAAATTAGTGTAGTCTCCCACTAAATTTTTTTGGGACTTTCCAGGTCTACGATTTCTGAAATCAACTTAATTTATTTCTTTACTTATTGAGATGTCATCACCGAAAAATAAGATAGTTGTATGTCTTGAGTGTGCTAGATGTTACACACGTCAAAATGCGTCAAAACGTCGTAAAAACTGTGGCTTTTTGAAGTGTCCGAATTGTAATTTTAATTTTCATACATCTAGCAGTAAGGAAAAGAACATTCATATCAAAAAGAAGCGTTCTTCCTGTCACAATAGTGCTATACAAGGTGATCGAAAGCACTTTGAGCAGCTTCCAAACAAAATTGACACGGATGACGACCAAGTTATTTTTTTGAAAGTATTTATAAAAGTCTGTGGGGTCAATTAGCATAGTTGAAAATCTTGCAAATGACTCAGTTTTTGTGAAACAACTTAAATTTGAAGTTCAAGTTCTATGTAAAATCAAAAACTGAGCAAACCTTACGTGATAACCTATTTTACAAGAGTGTTTTCTGGTTTTGATCTGTTGTGTTTGCTCAAAAGATATAACGGACGGACAAACCAACGCAAGCAACAATCGAGTTCAGATTGCCGTGAAAATTTTGACGTAAAACGATCGAAATATCTTTAACCTACAGTAGCGACTGCAAATGAACCAGATTTCTTCTATTATTTTCCAATGATTTTGGAAAATTTTTTGCAAACTGACATTTAAGATGAAAAATTTCAAATTAAAAAATAGATGTTTCTGATCTGAAAGTTTGGTTCAAAACATAAATTAAGATAAGATTCAAGAGAAGAATATACAGTTATTTGGTTCAGAGATACTTTTTCTTAAGTTGTATGTTTGTTCTTAACAGAGCAGGTGTTTACAACTGCAATTGCTTTGGTTTAGTAAGCGATAGTTTAAAAGACATAAACTTTTGTGCAAACTGACATCAACGCTATGAAATCTACAGCAATAAAATTTTAGTTTTAATCAATTAATAAAATAGTTGAAATCATTGAGAACTTAGAGGCTTTAAGGAGAATTTATTTGAGATGCAACTGTCTGGATTGAAAAAAAAAATTGTTAACTGATACAGTTTTTCCACTAAACTATCTTTTGAGCGTTGAATTTTCAGCAAAAAACTCTTGTGGAAAATAGCAGATAAAGCAGAAACCAAGAACCTGCATTGAAGGCAAACATTTACTCAAAATCTACAGAAAACAATTTTTACGTTCGGATGAACTCGGAGATTTTTTAGAGAACTTTTTTTGCTGGAATTCACCCCTGAAACTGCTCAAAAATGATCGAAATCAAAAATTTTCAGTTAATTGGTATAGATTTTCGATCAAAAAATCATTCAAAACTGAACTTTATAAATAAAATGTTCTTTTGGAAGATTTTGGTTCAAACAATAATCGAGAATCTGTTTTCAATGCAGACAATTTTGTAAATTTTCAAAAAAAAATTCCTTTTGAAGAAAAACTTTTCAGAGAAAAATGATAGGTTTTGCTGGTTCTTTTCCAAAAACCTGATAAATTCAGCAGAGACAGATGTATAATTTCTCTAGTTCAATCAATGTTATCGTGTTTGACTTGACTGAATTCAAGTTGAGGCAACGTGTTTTTGCTTCAGTTAGCTTCAATTTTTTATTATTTCTGAAATTAGGTTGAAATGAACGTTTTTTTTTGCTTAATTAAAATTGGCTAAGATTTACAAAGGTTTAACTGATACAGTCTTTACCCCAATTTTCATTTCTAATTTAATTCTCGAGCGGAAAGTCTTCTTTTGTAAGATTAAAGATAAAGCAAAATTTAAGAACTGAGTTTCATTGCGTACCTATAATTATACCTATTTTTCAGCAAAGCAATCTCAAGAAAGTTGTGCTGCAGAAAAAAAGGAAGTTTTTCAGATAAAAATTAATAGTTTAAAGCTATTTTTCACCAAAAATTACCTATCTATATTCAACTTTGAATGCTCTAACTAGCTCCATTTTTCTTTGACCCTTAATTCCTTAGTTCTCAGTAATTTTCAATGTAAAGTTATTTCAAAAAGAGACAATAAATAAAGCAGACAGCAGAAATTAGCGTTAAAATTAGATACGATCCGGCAGTTTTTATTTGTCTTCGAGTGCGATTTTGTCGTTGTAATTCAACTTTTCTTCATTTATTTTTTCTTTTTCAAAAACTTGGAAATTTTTACGATTTGCTGAAGTGCAGCTGAGAATATCCAGGAAAATCCGAAGAAAACAATAATTTTTGAATATTGTCATAAGTTTGAGAAATAAAGGAGATTAAATGTGATTCATTTTAATATTGAATCTGAAGAGCAATTGTTTCCAGACAAAATTTTTTCAAAACTAGTTTATGCAACGACTAACTGTGGGAAAGATGCATACCCTGCAAATTTTCAAGATCCATAGATTAAGTCTTTGTCTTCTTTGTCAGTTTGAAACTTACCATTTTTTTAAACTAAGGTATGTATTAATGTAGGTTGCAGGTTTCAGAATTTTAGATGCTATCTTAATATATTGGGAAATTTATTACCTATGCCAAAATATAGGGTTGTGACCGGATAATCTATAGCTCACCTTTTATAAAAAGTCTACCACCCATAACCGCGTTTTTGCCCCGACATATACTACTTAGGCCGAATTTTTTTTCAAAAAAATCATAACATTCAAGACTAACAAAAAGTTATTAATTCCCTTCACCCTCAAAAATCAAACTCGCACAAAGAAATTTTATCGCTCATCAAAAGATGCAATATGAGGCCACTAAACCGAATTAAAATCTATCAAGCAAACTATCAAGCAAAAAAAAACAATTAAGAAATTTTTTGTAGCGTTTTAAGCCGACTTAAAATCTATCAAGCAAACTTTCAAGCTGAAAAAAAAAACGAGTATGAAATTTTTTGTAGCAATTTGTGCGATCCAGAGAGGAGAATTAAATGTTTGTTCCCCTCGAAACGAATCAAAATTAGATCACTAAGCCGTTCAAACACTAGCCGAAATCATTTGAGCAGAACACGTTTTTTCGAGAGTAAGGCGAAAACAATTCGAAATACAGTATACTGAGGCAAACTTAGTAAAATTACAAACTGCAGAAGTTAACCAAAGCTTTACAAACAACTCCAATGTAAATTGCCTACAGCAAAGAAAAACTATTCTACGGTGTGGCAATTAACCTTTGAAACGGAGTAAAGAAAACAGCGTTCTCTCGTAATCGAACACAGGACCTTTGCCGTCTCAAGCGTATTCGTTTTTCAGATTCAATTGTGCCAGACGCGCAAAGAAGTTTGAGCTTTTGAATTGAAACAGAATTTAGCTTTTCTATTTTTGACATTCTGTGAACAAAGCTGTTTACGGAAAAAGTCTAGTACCCGATTGCGATTCCCGTGCTCAGCTCAAGGGTTAAAACAGCGGAAATTCCATCGACGGAAATTAGGCAAAAACCACGAACCAGAACGAAAAATTTGCAATCTATATTTTTTGTCGAGAAAATTTAGTTTAAAAATTAACCCCGGAAACAGACTACCCTGTTGACTACTAAAAAACTGTAGTTTAGTTTGAATTTGCTTTTACTTTTACTACTAAATTGACCCTTTTCTGAACAAAATTTTTTACAGGAGAACTCTCGCACCCTTTTGCAATAGCCTTGCTTATCGCTAAAAATATCCTTGCTAAAAATTTAAGAAATATGGATCAGTAGGTACAGTTTCTATACCGCTCCGAAATCTGAAAATGAAATTCCACTTTCGAAACTTGAAATTGATCACGTTTCTTGTGACCCTTACACTTTCGTAATTGGAGAGCGCAGCTCCCATCCTATCTTTGAGCAGATGAAAATTGAACTCAAGTGGAGCATGTATACATAAAAGGATTATTAAAAGCAATGTGTAAGAATGCACTTCTGTAGTTGTAAAAATGTTTCAAAAATTTTCCTGGAAAGAAATCATCACGACCAATGTCTGAGCAAAGTTAGCCCATATGCATGTAATTCATCAATTGAAGAAAGTGTATGACGAATGCGAATCTCGCTTACACTTTCAATTGTTTGTTTTGAAAATAGGATTCGAACAAATATATTTTTTATCAGCCTATTGCTTTGATGTCCGTTTTTAGAGAGCGCCGTAAGTAAAACTCCATACTGTATTACTGGATGCTCATTAGCTTTGCAATCGCAACATCGTTTCATTAAAAATATTTTGTATTGATAGAACCTTTCTGCTAATTGTTTCAATTTTACCTTTTACTCGAATAAGTGAATTTTGAAGTTTGTGGGTTGCTAAATAAAACAGGGCCTAAGACGACACGCAAATTAGACGGCCGTAAATAAAACGGAACTTATACGATAACTATTTGTGAATTTAGACGATAAGAATTTGGCCAATAAAACTTTTTGTTTTATAAGACGACACGCAAATTAGACGGCCGTAAATAAAACGGAACTTATACGATAACTATTTGTGAATTTAGACGATAAGAATTTGGCCAATAAAACTTTTTGTTTAGAACAAAAGCAGTATATGATCGCAAAACTGATCAAAATTATTATTGTAAAGTGTATTATAAAAACACTAAATCGAACGAGTAGACTAAATTTAAGAAATGCCTAAATTATGCAACTGTCATATTAGTAGCCTGATTTGTGGTTAGACCACCAGTATTCACTCCACTAAAAGTTAATTTAAGTATGCAAAGAAACTTCACGCAATTTGCACGCAAGTTATCGTCAAAACTCCGTTATTTTCTGATCGTCTAATTTGCTCGTCGTCTAATTTCCTAGTCCCTAAAAAAACTATTAAATGAACATCTCTACTTTTAATACTTTGAAAATTTTAATTTCATTGTATAGAAGAAAATAAGGTGGCGCCATTTCTGTACAAGCCAGTGTATAATTACTGATTGATAGATATGTGAGTATTTATAGCGACAAACCTTAAAAAACCAAATCAAATCATACACATTTACATGTTACTTTATTCGCTAGAAATCACTAAGCTGCTGCCTTATTAAAATATGAATCTAATCGCAAAGTAGTTTAATCCAGTCCAAAACTCAAAAGCATTATCTTTGATTGTTAGGTTTCGATTTTGGTTCAAGTCAGAAATGTGTTGATTCCGTGTCTCCGATTGCGTTCGCGTATCTCGCATGCTGTCCTGCAGTCGAATCATTACTATTCGGATCTTCTGGACTGTCAGCCTCGTCATTTCCGGGTGAGGACTGGGGCATATCATTCGGGAGTGTTTCTATAGGCGGCGGTGGAGGCGGTGCAACTGTAGGTCTGTTGTAGATGTCATTTTTACTCCCACCTGATGCTGAAGTTTTGACGGATCTCGGCTGTGGACGCGGTTTGCTCTGACTGCTGAAAGCGTACTTTCTTTGACTGTCCGTGCTCGTGTCGTCTTCTGAAACAAGGTTCTCTTGCGACTTCGAAGGCGTGCTCAATGAAAAGTTCACATCACTACCTTGACCAGAGACCCCGAAAGATGAAGGATCGGATTTGCTGTTACTAGACGGCACTTTTGGGGCTCTCTTTTTATTGGACCTGCAAACAATTATTCGTTACTCATTTCTAAAATTGTCGAAATCGGATTCGGCTTACCAACAAAGATGCCTTACACATCAGGGGGCAAGGGTTTGGGCGGCAACGGAGGATTACTAGAAGACGTCGTTCCGACCAATATTTTGTCACTTGCTGAAACAGAAACTAATAAGAGTTCTAATTTCAAGAAGTTCTATACAGATCAGAAAACTATTCAAAAGATAGTTCTGCCAGAAACCAATGCTCAGTTGAGTGAGGGTGAAAACAAAACAATATACGTAGGACAAGAACCATTACGATACACTCATGTTCAAAAAAGCCTCAAAGCTTCAAACCCTCTAGTTCAGGGGCGGGTTGAGGATTTTCTCGAAGGGGGGGGGGGCTGATTTTCAAAACTATCAAAAATTTTGTCAACTTTTTTTAGGTCGACCAATGTGATTTTTCGAGCGCTCCCAGAACACTTATACAGACCCTATTTTGACAAAAAAAAACAATTTTGAAAAATCAGGTCAAAAATACCGTTTTTGCGCACTTTTTGGAAAATTTTGACCAAAAATGCGTTTTTTTGGCGCTCGCTCCCCCTCAAAATTAGTGTATTGGCGCCATATTGGATGCCGACCAAAAATGAATATTATGAAACAATACCAAAGGGGACCCTTTGGTTGGTGTTAGTGAGGGGGTGGAATCCTTGAGAAGAGGGCGTCCTCCAATAAATCCCCCCCTACTCTGGTTAAATAATGTCTAGTGACGTCCTAAGAACTAATGTCAATATTGGAAATTGTTCTTGTATATTAAATGTCTGGCCCAGAAATTGACCGACTTACATGATGATCTCCTGTGGGATCCGTGGAGAAGCAGGGACGCTTTAGAAGGTGTCTGGGGCGCATTTGATGATGATGATGTGTGAAGTATACTGACAGGTCTGTTCAGTTTTCGTGGTTGCTCCTCCCTCCTGGGGGCGGGCGATGGTGGCGCGGGTGAGCTGAAAGAAGCACGGAGGGACGGAAAACCGGACCAGGGCGGAATTGGCGGATTTTCCAGGATGTCCTTGATTGATCGAAACTCAACTGGATCTGCAACAGAAATGAAGACTTTTACGTTACTGCCGACACAACCGGAGCAAATACCATGAAATTTGAGATACCCGAATACCTGCATTTAAACTCTTCAAATTGAATATGATATCTATTCAAATTGAAAGAAAGACGAATATGTACAGCCAAGCAACTTCACTGCAAACTAATGTTTGGTTATTTTTTCTGAGTTGCGTTTCGTTTGGAATTAATCTTACCAAGTAAACCTAAATTTTTGTTGAATATACGGATTAAATTGAATTGTGAATGCTGGTTAAGCGGAGCGCATGCAACATAACATGATCAAAATATGATGTTTTTTAAAACAGATTCGAATTCTGTTATTTAAAAGCATTCAAATCAACTAGAGCAACCATTTGAAAAGTTAGTTAGGCTACACTGAAAGTTTGCTCAAGTGAGCCTTACCGCTTTTGAGGTCGAAAACAGTGACTGCGTTTCTGACTAGTGTTGCCACTATATGGTTACTCGTATGAGACACATTGAGAGAAGCAAAGTCTCCCCCTGCCCCCATCGCCCCTAGATCTCTGAAACAGACACTCAACTAGTGACACAACAACTGAAAAGACCAGAATAGGTACAAGGATACATCAGGTACTTTGCATACACAGCAAAACTACAGTGCCGACTTAAATTATCCTGAAAACAACCTTGAAATAGGTGTTAGTATTTTGACAAAAATCTCATTAGCTGGAACAACGTTTCATTACAAACTACTTTCGGAAAATCAATTTGATCGACTAAAAAATGGTATCATTCCTGATCGTATGTCTCAATAAAGAAAACTAGGGGACCAGCTAAAACTGGAAGTACCTATTAGACGTTTTGGAACTTTGACGTTATAATGGTGTGGGATGAAATGTGTAATTTCACAATTTGGACTACTGCAATAAGTTTGGAACTTTCCCAAGGAAATAACAATCTTCTAGCAAAAAATTAACGAGTAGCCGCTTCTGTAGGAAAAAATTCAACAGTTCTTTCGATTGAACCTTATATCTCAGATTTGATAGGAGAGTTTTTTAAGCCAAAAATCTGAAACCCCTTTTTTTCAGAAGTTAGGAGGGCAGAGAAGATTTCCAAAACCGACAAAAATTGTCAAGGCTAACTTTTTTTTAAAAAAATGGGAAGGGCCGCTGCAGACGTTTGACAACCTGTTGTTTTAATTAAAATTTTGATATCAGAATTGGCAGGATAGTTTTCGAGAAAAATAAGTTTCCAAATAACGATCGAAAAATTTATTAAATAGACATTTCTGAGATACATTTCGTAAGACTGCTTTATTCGGAAAAACTTTAGAGCCTGCTAAATTACAACTTCAGAGCATTCTAACTTAATTTTCCAGTTGTTCTTTTTCTTTCATTCTGAATTGCCTAAATTAAGGTAGACATTTTCATCAACATATATTTTTCCATTATACGCAAAAATGAGTGGTAATAAAAAATGCCATTTCAGTTTATGAGAGTTCCTGCTAGTATATAGGTTGACTCACTGTTTGGTGTTATCGAAGCTTGGTCCAATGCATGTACCGATGTTGTCTGCAGACATCTTGTTCACACTCTCGTTCATCAGCACCCCATGCAACACAGTGAAGATATATCTACAACACAAAATTACAAAATCTATGAGCATGAAACACTGACATATCCCAGACACCGCAATTACATGTCAAAACTCTTCGAAACAATTTTAAAAAAAAACTTTTAGCAAACATTTCTACGTAACAAAATTCAAGAAAACAATTAGGAACCCAAAAGAGAATCCGCATACAGTGTAACTAGCGTCATCGTGTCTCTGACAAAATAATTTTATGGTGCTGAAAAAAAAAGAACAGCCACTGAGAGTTGGAAAAGAGTAATGAACGCAAGTAAACAGAAAAAGAATACTGGCTTGTTTTTTTTTGAAAAAAAAATCTCAGCTTTCGAATTTCCAAGAAAAAAAAGATGGCCCTAAAACTCTTTAAAATTCTAGAACAATTTATAATTGACACTTTTTTTATGAAATTAACCCAATTTGAGAAAACTATCTGACAACTAAATTGGTTTTTTCGAAACTAGAATTCGATAACGTTTTTTGGTGACCTTTACACTTTTGCTGTTCGATAGTGGAGTTTGCCTTCCTTTTAACAATAGAAATGCACTACATTTAAAAAGAAATCGGAGGTCAAACCGCGAAAAATCAAAATTAAGCGTGAACAAATTTTGAGACTTTTCCTGAAAAAAAAAATCAAGACCTGTAAAAGAGTCTTCATTACGTTGTTCATTACTCTTAAACAGTGATAAGAACCTTCGATGTCGAGCCAGCAAGTTTGATCCTTAAATACACGAAGAATAACCTTTATGAGCTTAAGATTTTGCGTGAGATAGATAGTTATGAATAGGATGAATGGTTTGGTTTCGTTACTTTAGATTGTCGACATTGGCTTTCGGTAGACTCTTAATTATCTCCTGGAACTTGGCAGCAAACTCGCTCTCTGTGGCACCTCTCGCAGACAACTTTCTAAAAACACGGAAACAGAATTGCAATAATGATTTCACTCTCCTAGCTGAGCATAAAATCAACAGGAATTTGTATTGTCAGATCAATTAGGACGGCCTCGAAATTAAAGTGTCAAGACATTGCCATGTACAAAGTATTTCATCGAGTTTTTCAGTTAGCATGAATTACATGAACCTCGTTACCATGAACGTCATTAGTTGAATGTATTTCATTTAGGAAGCATACATTCAACTTGTGAGCTGGGAAGAGTACGTATATGTACCAATTACCATTAAGAGCCCTATGGAACCTGATCTAAACTACATTTTATGATTGGATAAATTAAATGTTTTACCAATGTAAAGTATTTAATATTAACCAATCATGATCCATCTAACTAACAACCCACTTATTTGTAAGTGCTGAAGTTACTTGTAATTTCAGCACCAGAGAGATTTGAATTTAACTTAGAAATTAGTTGGACTCTCCCGAGCACTTCAGCAGCCGCAATAAACCAGTATACCCTAGATCTATTGAGCCTAGCAGAGACTAGTTAAACAACCTGAGACTAGATAGTATAAGAGTAAGATTAGGATCGGTATTAGACTAAGAAGTTGCACGAATCTATCCGGCCGAAAATAAGATAGCGTGACGAGCAGACGGTGTACCCTATCCGAAATTACTCTATGAGTTACACATCTGTCCTAACTCATCTGGTGCGACCATAAGTCTCGAACAAGACCTTAATAGATTAGAATTAGCCAAAATAGATTAGAAATTAGACAAAAACATTTACAAAAATGTTATACGACAATAATTTAATCGAAATGTCTCTACGACTCAATAGATCAGAGCCAATATTCCGAACCATAACAGAACTACCCGGAATTGGAAGAAGACCTCGAACCAAAGACGACATACGACAAAGTAGAAACTTGCCGTATAGTTATATGATAGTTCGGCAAAAGCCAGAACAAACTTTTATATTTCGAATACTACTTGCAATGAATTTAGATTTCCATTTGCAAACATAAAACCTTGAAGTTACTCTTCAAAATCATTTCAGGCGCTAAACAAATTTATTAATATACAATAACGATTGATAAAAAGATCTAAGATCGTTTTCCTAAAACTCTGCAGTATTATACAAAACATGTTTGAAAAATATTTATTGGAAAATAAAAATAAAAATTAGTAGCATGACAATAAATGGTTAGTAATCATAAATCATCCTGTTGTTCCAGCTTCATCATCTAAAACATAACAGCAATCATAAACCCACTAATATCATCAAAACACTAAATCTTTCCTTTACACACATTTAAAATTTTATTAAAACTTAAATTCACTTAATTTTAAAACCAGATCATCAAGGCTTATCCTTGGATCTTAAATCATTTTCTACTTAATTAAATTTCAAATTTGATCATCAAGGCTTATCCTTGGATCAAACAGAACAACTTTGTTCTCCCCCACCCACTTAATTAGTGTCTAACGACCTCAAACGTCGATTCACTACCCAACCCTTTCTAAAGACCTAAGACTAATAGAAATTTTTAAACAAAACTAATCATTCAAATTAGGATAAACAGTGAAGAACTTCGGTTATTCATCCTTCACTTGACCCCCCCTCTTACCAGACCCAGGATAAATCTTAGACTTAGTAAGTTTAAAATAGTATCTAACGAACTACTCGCGTTCTAATTATACCTGAACCTTGTGGATCGATTTACTATTCTCCAACCCTTGAACACAATCACTACCCCTAAGTAAGATTAAGTAAGTTAACACCTTAGCTTATACTAGTCACGAGAAAGTAAAAATCATTCTTCGGAATCGATATACTTTTCTCTCCAACCCTGAACAAACAGACCCAGGTTAAGCTAACCAAAAAATCGTAAGAACTAACAGTTTAGGAAAATAGAAATCATTTAACAACCCTTTGCATCCGTCATTCTAAACCTTATGTCATTTAAAAACCTAGGAAATAAACAAACAATCGTTTTACACAATTGTGAAATAGATAACAAAAAATACGACCTTGTAATCACACCTCATACACAAACAGTTGGATACATTCGAACAAAACGACAAACACTAAAAAGAAAAATAATAACGAAACAAAGACAAATAACACGAAAAAGATTTTCAAAAAATCGAAACGCATTTTCAGAATCAGAAACCAACAGTTTAGACGAACTTTACAAACTAAAAGAATCAATAGATAAAAATTGCCCAATTCACGATCAATTATATTTCTCTGACTCAGAAACAACTTCAAATTCATCACAAAGAGGAAAAAGAAGATTTAACTGATAAAATAAATTTATCAGGACCACAAACAAATGATTCAAAATACACAATAAATCAAGTTTTTGACCTCCACGACCCACTTGATACAATACCCTTATCTAAATTAGAAATCGAAAACATTTTTCTCCCCCCAACAGAAACAATTACAATTTCAACACTGAAACAATATCAAAACCTTGACCCAGTAATTCGACAACTGAAATCATGGCACAAATATAAAACTAAACCTATCAAAGCAGATTCAACCATTCTAGGAAACAAAACACTCCTCCGATACTTTCGCAAATTTAACAACACAACAATTAACGAAAATACAGACCTTTTAGAGTATAACCTGAATGAATCTACAGTTCCATGTCTCCCTTTAAGTATGATTCTTATAGCTTTTAATATTTCACATACACAAAATATTAAAGGACACTCTGGATCAGAAAAAACATATTCAAATTTTATACAAAATTTTTACTTCCCAAATGCACCAATTTGGATAAAAGTACTATGCAATGATTGTATAGTATGTCAACTAAATAAACCTTACCCAAATCAAAAACAAATAGCACAAAAACAAGATTTTAAAGGACAAAGCTTGTACTTTAACCATCGTATCTCATTTGATACCAAAGGACCAATTTCACCCTCATCAGAAGGAAACTCCTACATTATGGTAATTGTTGACGCATTTACACATTATGTAGCACTTAACCCAGTACCACATTGTAACGCTTATTACGCTTACACAACACTCTATGAACACTGGATAGCAAAATTCGGACTACCAGAAATTTTAGTTACAGACAACGGTACAGAATTCATAAATAATGAAATTATCACACTATGTCATTTATATAACATTAAACACAAACCACGTACATCTCATGCACCTTGGACAAACGGCTTAGTCGAAGGTATGAACCGTTCATTACAAGAATATCTTAGATGTATCATCAACGGAAATGATACAAAATATACCGAATGGTCAGCAGATGTAAAATTATTTCCCTTAGCATATAATTCACAAATTACGACAACTTTAGGAATGTCACCATACGAAATGGTTTTTAACCAAAAGCCACGCAAACCAATAATGTTTACAGCAAATTCTCATAAAAACGCACAAGGTTATTGTCAACCAAATAAAGACTCAATTTGTTATAACCTACCTTTACATACACACGATGAAGATCATTTTCATCACCCACAAATTCTTAAACTAGCCTCCGGTACACACACCGAATGGATTCTAAATAGAGATAAAAAACACAATGAAATTTATCAAAAAATAACAAAAAAGTTATTACAAAGACAAAACATTAATGAACAAATCAATTCACGTTTTACACCAGCCTCCGATTTAAAAATTGGAACATTTGTTTTAATACCTAATTTTAATACTCAAAAAGGAATTTCTAAAAAATTACAACCCCTTCGAAAAGGACCATACCAAATAATTGCAAAACCCACTGATGTCACATATAAAATTACCGACTCAAACACAAAAGAAATCGTTCAACATCGAAACAACCTATTACCTTATTACCCAAAAGAATACGCACTCCGCGAATTAACTCAATTATATTCTTTCACAGGATTAAAAATCATTCAAAATGAACCACATCTGAAAAACACAGAACAAAATGATAACCCCACCGAAAATCAAAACACAAAACCAACCGCCACCAAAAACAATACACAAAACCATAAAGAATCTCCAAAACAAAGAAAAAATAGAAAAATGACAGAACAAATAATACCCCAAGAAGAAATAGACAAATCTGAACATAGAAAAACAACAAGACTCAGAAATCAACCACGTAAAAACTACAAAATGTTCATCCCCCAATCTAAAATATTAAAGAAAGTAGAATTTAAAAAGTAATTTTAAGATTTCATACTTCACAATCTTGAAACCTCCGTAACATTTTTCATTTCAATTTTTCAAAATAACATGCTCACAAGTACGCAATAATTCTAGTTCAAAATAGACCAATAGGATTCATCCAATCCGCCACTTTCTCTAACTCAAACTAAGATCAATTAGACGAATAATCTAGAACTCCAGGCACATCTCTAACTATAACTTTACAACCTCCAGGTCAAAAATAAGCAAATCACTCCAACTTGACAGCTAAAATAAATATCACCATAATACCGTACCCCTCCCTTATCTAATAACCCAAAGATCAACAATATTTCCCCAACTCAGACCACGAATACCCCCAAAACAAATTTGATAACTTAGCCTAAAGTAACAAAATGAAGATTTTAATTAGCCTAAAGTATAAAAATCTCACCATACCCCGGATCATTTGACAAACAAAAATAAAGAAAAAGACGACCTCCCAGTCACCATGAAAATTGCCCCCAACAATTTTTTACAAAACTCAACCCACTTGTCAAAAAACTAATAAATAATTCGACCACACTAGAAAATCGCCTCAAACAGCAAAAAATATTCGACCAAGAGATCATTTCTTAAATGCTCTTCTCTCAAACAGTTGCTCAAATACTTATAAATTTTAAACATTTTTTTTCAATACTTGAAGCCTTTATAATATTTCTTTTTGATATACTTGAATCTTTTCTAATAATCCTAATCATTTTTTGTAACATTTTTTTAATTTTCTACACTATTCTCGAACTATTCCTCCAACTTTCCAAAACCCTTGATTATATCCACAGGTACGATTTATACAACTTGTCTAAATGAT